CAAAGAATAAGAGTCACTGTAAATATTCAGAGAACTTTTTCCTTGAAAACTATAAATAAAAGGAGAAAAATGTCAACAGAAATAGAAGATAAATTTATCCATCTAATAACCTGATAGGTAAAACCATACTTTATTGTTATTTTAATATACATTTCCAAGAATGTTAATGCAACCAAGCCTCTCTTCACATGCCTCCAAATGTATTTTTCTGCCTGCTCATGTGTTCTGACAATTCTTCTAAAGGCTTACTGGCCTCATTAACATATTAAGATTTCTTATTATATAAGTGCTTCCACTGATCTGTAATATCTTTACAAAGAGCAGTTGTAAACAGCAGGTAAAAGCACTGGCTGGTGTCAGATGGCTTGGATTAAAATTCAAACTTGTGTCCTTTCTAGATGTGTGTGTGACTTGAACCAAGTTATTCCGAGGCGGACTTTGGAGCAGAGACATTTCTCTCTTAAGGGAAAGGAACAGATAAGCCACAGTAAGACAGACAAGCTGAGGTAAAGCAGAGACAGACAGAAGTAGAGTTAGAACTTTTCTTTGAAGGAATAATAAGGATAAGAGAATAAGGATGAGGAAAAGGCAACAGAGGCTACATGAAGTAGGTCAAAAAGAGTTTAAAGCCAGGCTCACGTGAGAAATGATAGTGGGCTAACATACAGCCAGCCTCTTGCTGAAAACTCAGGATAAGAATTAGCAAACCAGATACCATAATTCTGTTGACCTCTTTTCTTCTAGTAAAGCTGTCATCATAATAACTTGAAAACATTTCTCAAAGAATACAATCTGCTCTATGTGCTTTAGTTAAGATAAAAAGTTTAAAACATAAAGGTAAAATATTTTCATGCAACAATTACATACCATTATCAGGAATCGGTTCCATGTCCCATGGGCTAAGCTTTTCAATTTCAGTATTGTCCCACCTGTTAAAACCAAAAGAAAAGTCTGGTTAGTCTTTCATAAAGCCAACTTGTGGCTAATAACTAGGTATCCACTATGAGAGTAAACGAAAACATAGAAAATGTAAAAATTAATCTCATTTTATCAGCGATAGTTTAAATATAATAGTAAAAAATTTCTAGAAAGATACCTTATAAGAAATGTAAAAATGTGTAGCAGGTTCGAGAACAAAATCAGAAATCCTGTGTGGCCTGTACCAGGCTAAGTGAAAAAAAACTCAGATAGTGTGAAGGCCTTGAATGTGACACTTCAGAATGTGGACTTTACTCCACAGCCAAAGGAAAGGCAGCAAAGACTCTCCTGAACAAAGGAAATGATGTAATACGTGCTGGACAATGATCCAGCAACATCAGGTTGAGGAAATACTAGGAAGCTACTACAGAAATGGTCTGAGGAAAGCAAGCAGAAAGTGCACCAAGGCGGGTATTAGTAAACAGGAAACAGGGGCATGCATGCTAGAGAGGTGAGACTGACAGGACTTAATGACATTCAATCGTGGGGCTTTTTAACCTGAAACGTATTAGTTATTCATACAACAAGCAGCCAAAATGAACAAATGTTTGTAGATGATTTGTTTTCATCTGCATACAGACCTAACGATGTAACACTGGAAATGACTATCAGGGTACTGGGGCTGATAGGGCTCTTGACTTAGCACCGTTCCAAACCACCAAGCATCGTCGATGATAGACCGGAACCTGTCACCTAGAAGAGAGATGACCCAATTTGCAACACTAACATTTTTAATTTATAAAGTACCATATGATACAGATAAAACAGAAACCAAGGTATATTTTTGTTAAAATTAGCCACTCTTCCCCAATTCTCCGCAATCTTCAGTGATAAAACAGATGTAAAAAAGATATAATTTCACACTCAGCGACTCACTGAAGGCATGTAACCATACAGCATAATTGGCTAAAACAGCCCTGTTGTTTAGTGGGTCCAAACTCCCACTCCAAAATAAGTTCTGTTATATTTTGCAACATGAAATAAAGAACGAAGTTTAACAAAAGTCGATCTTTTACAACAATGTATACTATCAGTATTTAATATGTATATTAAATATGTTTATGAAATATAACATTTTCTGAAGAATAAAACCAATTATAAAAGTATGATTAGAATTTAATCCACAATTATTCTAAAGCTGTTCCTATATAAGTATCTTCACATAAAACAGTGTTCTAATTCTTAAGATCTCATAATAAAAATCAGGTCTAAATCTACCACCAACATTTATATATTCATTATTTAAAAGAATTAAACATCCACATGTCTCAGTAGAACATAAAAGCAGGCAAGGAGATCTTAGAAAGGCACAGCCTAACTGCGGAACAAATACTTCAACTGACACTCAGGGGTTTTAGATTACACACATTTCTAAACCTGTTCTACAACTAGAACACTTCTAAAGAAATAAATTATATTTGGTCTTTGTTTTAAATATGTTACAAAAGAAACACCGACAACTATAACAACTCTCTCTCTTCCTGCCCATCCATCCCACCATTTCAAAACAAAATCAGTAAGAAAAAAAGTCAATTATTCAGCATTAACAATTCTTTGGCAGATTAACATTTCTTTTTTAAGGAAAGTTTTATGGAAACAATATCAATCAAAATTAAATCTACAAAAGTAAAGAGAATATTTACATAATAAAATACCCAAAAAGAGCCTTGACTAAAGAGAATATGCTTACAGTGAATTCTGGAAAGAAAAGCAATAGCACAACTAACAGAGTTAACTGTTTTACGGTTAAGATACTTTCAAATTCACGTAAACATGACTTTTATATATATTTTACATCAAAATCACTAAAAACCCATAAGGCCCTCATCCCTCTACCCATCTCTCTACCATTAATAAAATTCTTTTAAAAATATTTCATTAACATAGATATTCCAAAACTAAACTAACTTTAGGAAAAAAATCTTATTTTTCTAACTTTAAATGAAAGGCCTATATTAAAAATTTGATAGAACACCATAGTTTCTGTCCAATTCTGTAATAGAATATTCTAATTTAGCATAAATATCATTTAAAATATTTATTACAATGGGTATTATTATAACAAATCCAGTGGCTTCATTTTGAGATGTCTAATATAAATACATATGGCTATGAAAGAGCCTATTTTTGATGTCAGAAATGAACTTCATAATATTTTTCTTCCCTATTTATCTAATACTAGAAGATACATTCAGTTAAGACAAAAACATTTCTTCAGTGTAAGACACTTTAAAAAGAGCCATAAAAATTAGTTTTCTTGTGGTAAAATTGGCTTTTCTAGTCTATTAAGAATTTTCAAATTAACCTATTTTGGCTATTCAAGAGTATGATAAAACTGCTTAATGAAGTTCTTAATATGGTAAAAATAGAAACAAGCAATTTCTTCTAACAGAACAGCTCAAACTTCAGGAGAATAGGTAAGACTTCATGGGGGAGTAAAAACGAATTAATTAGTATAGAAGATCTGGTACAACAATTTCTCAACCACACACACACACAGACTAAATTATAAGGGCGACTAGGAATTTGTCTCTAAGTTTAACTGCAGAGAATTAAGTTAAAAATTTTTTTGAACAGACATGTTGGCAGAACAAAATAAGAGCTTCTGACCTACATGTCATGGGGGTTGAAAAAAAACTTAACAGATGACAAACTTTCAAGTTCTTTGAGACTTAACTGTATGACTTGTTAACACCCACATATGTCAGCTGTCTCGTGTTTGGGGACGGAGGGCACCAGATGTTTTTCTTCAAGAAAAATTTCCTTTACCTCTAAGTCCCAAAATAGTCTTGATTATTTGTTCAGACATTACTGTTAAAACAGTCTACGAGAACAGCAACTACAACGATCTTTGTTTCAAACAGGGATCGCTCAGGAAGTTTATCTAAACTGTACCTGCCTGTAATGTCTGCCAAAAAAAAAAAAAGGGGGCAACAGAAACTAGGAAAACTAATAAGGTCTTAACACCATTTATGAATGGATACGCCAGACGACACAGCCTGGGTAAAACTTAATATTTCTGGTAAAAGACCAAAACCTGTAACAGCAGACTGAGTCATACTACGCAACTAAAGTCAAACTCAACATATGAGCTCCCCAGATGACGTTACGTAGTGCCAAGGAATGCTACATGTACACTTGTGAAACAGACACTACAGCTGCCATCTACATGGCCTGGCTTAATTAGTCATCAATTATGTCCTGGAGAGGTTAATGACCTACACAAATCTAAGCAAATGAGCCCACCAGTCCTCCTTAAATGGTCACCATGAAAACCACGTTCAAGTCAGTGCCCACGTCGAGGTCACTTTATTTTTCTGTCCACCAACACCCATGGTTATAAAGCGTGTTACAAGAATTTCTTGATTTTTTAATGGAATGGTTTCCTCAAGTCAGACTATTTAAGTCTGGGTTGATGTGATGCCAAACATAAAATATTCTGGTATACTAGAACATTATCTGCTGAAAATCTGCATTATTTTTCAACTTCCTGATTGTTTTACATAGGATAATTTTGTGAATTAACCTGTGTCACTTTAAAGATAATTAGAGATAATGCAGTATGGGAAAGTCTGAAAGGAAATAAAAGGTCTACTACTCTAGACTATAATCAATGAGTAAGATATAATTCCTTCCAAATGTCACACACCGTTAAGAAAAGACGAAACGTTGGCTAAAAAGTCTAGGAAGTATTAAGTACCAAACTCTAAGCAAAATACACTTATCAGTCGATCATATTTCTTTCCAGAATGTACACGTTTGCATCCACCATAAGAAGCAGTACCACATCAAAAATTAATATAAGGGTAGATTAATTTCTAAGGGTATATAAAACTCCATAAGGACAGACTTACAAGACTGCCAATTCCTTTGTCTTGCTTCATCGTAAAATTGACGCAATACAAGAAAGTCAATAACATCTGGCATATCATGATATCTAAACACAAATAAAGGATTATTAAATTCCTCATTTAGCAGGTTATAATCGAGAGCAACAGTGTCCAAAAGAAATATCCTGGGAGCTGTATATGTAATTTTTAATTTTTGACTGGCCTTATTTAAAAAAACCAGTGAAATTAATTTTATTTTATTTAACCCAATGTATCCTAAATATTGTTTCACCACGCAATCGATATGAAATAATATTTTACATTCTTTTTCTTCATACCAAGTTTTCAAAATTCAGTGTGTGTACTTACATCACATGCAATTCTAATCAGCCATAATTCCAGCATAGGTTTAGCAAATAATTTAACATTTTCTCGAAAACAAAAGCAGGAGCAATTTCCCCTACAGGCTAGAATACTCCACACATTTAAGCAGCATGAAAAAAATGTACAAAACATGCCAATGCCTAACTTTTGCTGGAGCACCCTATTTTTACTTCCAGTGGGTTCCCATCTACCAGAACCTCAAGCCACACCTTAGACTGTCCACAGCGCTCTACTGTCTACCCTGCAGCTAAGCGGGAGGGAACGCTCATCAGCAAGAGGGAGAATATAAAATTAAATGATTCCAGAAAGGAGCAGCAACATGTACCTGATAGAGAAAGATTTGTCCATAAGCTTGCCAGTCGCAGGATCTATAAATGCTAGTTTGAGGCAACAGAGTGTAGGGGGCCCAACCTCATACCGTATTCCAACTATTTTGACTAATTCTTGATCCTGTAACAGATTTTTTAAAAAGAATAAATGGTTAAAATGGTTAAAATAAAGCAATTCCTCAAGATTCTAATGCTCCACATACTTCTTCCTGAAGACACATTTTCATTTGTATAATGTTGTATCATGCAAATGATAATGTGTAAGCTTTTAGCTTATTAAATATTCTTCAAAAACTTGACATGAAACTTCCACCGAATACATTTCATTAAATATCTGCTGAGGATCTACTATGTGCCATGACCTATTCCAGGCAATAGGGGCAGGACAGTGAACAGGAGAGATGCAAGCCCCTACCACGATGGAATACTCATCAATGGATGTGCCATCATCAGCCTTCCCCCAAATGTGTTTCCTTAATGCTAGGAATGCAAGAGCTCATTCGTTCATTCATTCCCTGCACAAATACGTGGTTGTTATAATACGTTAAAGCACTAAGTATAGATTATTCTCATTGATTCACAGCAGTTAAGTTCCACAGAGCCACCTAGAACCCCGAATTAACAATGAATCAGTGACTACTTCACCACTGTTCCTAGAGGAAATACAGGGTTAGGGTCCTACAGGTCTCGAGTCATAACACTGCAGTCACCCAATGTATAATCGCCTGCTATGTGTCTGTCTGTTGAAAGACACCTCCTTAAATATGTCACCGATTCACCAACACTGAACTCAAAGCCAACAGCATGGTAACTCATGCCTACATAAAACTTATCTAACACATATTTCTCAACAAGGGATATCACTGCTTTCCTGTGCTTAGGATAACAAGACAGCACTGCAGCACTATACTTGGGGGTGATTTTAAACCGCAAGTCACAAACAAAAAGCACAAAACTGTGAAAAAAAATTAATGTGGAATTGAACAGACTACAAAAAAGACACTTAATCACAACGTGAGAGCTCAAACAAGACGGTAGCGCATTGTTCGGTCTTGGCTGGGAACATGCTCGCCAAGCGAATCAAATTTTTTGCCATTCTGTGTTTATCTGCAAATGACCAGAAACCACCCTGAGTACTGGCCTGGGGGTGACAAATAACATGCAGCAGGCAGACAAATTCGCAAACATGGAATCAACGAATAATGAGGATCAGCTTTACTTAAGTACACGGCAGTAAGTGAAACACATAAATCTGAATGTATCTACAGCCAAATTCATAGAAGTACAGCCACTAAGTTGAATATCCGTGTTAAGAACAGCTATCTTTGTTAACATATTTTTTCCTCTTCTGATAGTTGCTGAAAGTACCAAAAACATATAAAAGTATATGGTTTGACTATGTATGTCTTTGAATTTTTGTTGTCATTTCATATCCCATTTTCCTCCTAGTAATACACTGTGAAAATTTAACATTCATTCATTTAGCAAATGTTTTTAAAGTCCCAATTCCATGGCAGACTCTATACAGCAATCAAATGTGTGACTGTATCATGATTTGATTCATTCAGTATTGTGAGACATTTAAATTTTTCCCAATTTTTTTATTTTTAAACACAATGATAGAGAATTGCCTTGCTCATTAATTTGCATGCATTTCTGGTTGTTTCTGAAATTACCAGAAGTAAAATCACTAATTTAAAAGGTCTAAATATTTTTCAGTTTCAATTCCAATTGCCAAGATACTCTCTAGAAAATCTGGACAGTTTCTTGCACTCTTATCAACAATTTGAATGTTAACAAACCAAAACCTTTGCTATTTGCTCAAACTTTTGGCATTTCTTTTCTTTAAATATAAAAATAAATAGAATTTATAAAATGGGTTAAGTAAGGGGAGCTAAAGTTTTTCTATATTACACGTGAGGTTGAACCATTTTTTCCAATTTGTATTTCTTCTTTTGAAAACTCGTACTTCTAAAAATCTGTCCTGGGTAAGCACATTTTAAGATAAATGATAAATGCTGCAAACTTGCCTTCCTAAGAAACTTTAACGCTCTTAGAATTTTATATGCCAATCAGCAATATGCAAAGACGGCTCATTGATAAACATAAGTCTTCCTACTGGATCTTAGCAGACAATAGTAAAAATGTTTTTAAATAGGAAATTAATGGAAAGATATGCTTCCGGGTTTTTCTTTAAATGGATTTATAAGTAATTTAATTAT